AAAAAAAAAAAAAAAACAAGAAAAGAAATATTTCCCTATGTGAAGGTTGTGAAGATTTTCTCTTATATTTTCTTCTAGAAGTTATATAGTTTTAAAATACATTTTGGTATATAATCTTCCTTAATTTAATTTTTTGTGAATTAAGAGAAAACATGAGAAAAGAGTTGAGGCTCATAAAACTTTTTTGAAAGTGAATTAATAAAACACACAGCAAGGTACAGTTTAAAAGACCAGTCACAGACTGAACCAGAAATGGTCACTGATTTCCCAACATCATGTCATGAAAACTAACGTGATGTAATTATGTTGCCACGGGTGATTATGGTGTAAAAGCCAGATTTTGAGGACTCTTGTGCAAATGTATTCCATGTTATAGTACCCATATGCACACTTCCTGTGATAGCCATTTGTGACTGCTTATTTCTACCAGTCAGCTCTGACTAACAAAAACATGAATTAAAAGCAGTTGAGATGTGGGTAAGGCACTTGACAGGTAAAAGAAAATGTGAACTTGCACCCTGTCCCCAAAAGACAAATGCCCCAGGTGGCATAGGTAGATGCCACTCATGTGTGATTTCATCAGGAAGCCAAAGCTACCTCTACCAAAAATACTTCCCTGCTGACTTGCCCCAGTGTCCTCATCTCCACCCTTAAGAATCACACCTCCGAAGTAAAGTTTGAATTATTGAAAATCCCCTGTGAAGATGCAAGTGCCTGAGAGAGGAGCTCTGGTTTCTTTATTAGATCTGTGGACAGCTTCCTGAGAAAAGTAATGCAACTCCCAGGGAGTAGGGATTGTGTGGTGGGAGGAAAAGGAAAGATGGGAAGGGTTACCCTAGAAGAAGGTATGGAGTTCCCATGTTGCAATCAGATTTGCTGACCCTAAAAATTAAAACAGAAGGTCTAATAAAAGATCATTTTATAATTTGTGAGTGTTTTACCAGAAAGAAAAAAAAAAAAACTTTAACAGTAGCTCAACTTTAAATCATTTACCTGCCCCAGAATATCCTGCCTATCTGTATTGCCATATCCATCAACCCCAAAGGCAGGCCAGAGAGTAAAGGTCGGAGAGGAGGACATAAGTGAGAAATCCAAGCAGCCAGAGCACTGAGGACTCCAGACAGCACGGGGCCAAGAGAGAGGGGAAGCAGACTCTAGCCTCATAACACAGAGAATGGTGTCTGGGGGATGGGCACACCTTTGGCAAAGAATCTACTGTAAGCAGAAAATACACCACCTTTCTGGTCATTATTCCTAATTCAATACCTATCTCCTGGATTGACCTTTACCCTTTTGCTGAATTTCAAGGCACACCCAAAAAATTAAGACATAAATTGCATATAGAGAAAAACACAATTTATTCATTAAAATGAGGACAAAATTTTTGTAACTCTGGAAAGTCGAGTTGCATCATGAAAGTTGTTTGTAAAAGCAGAAGTATGTGTTGACGATAAGTTCTCGTAAGAGTCAGGAAAATTAGGCAGGTTTCACAATGTGGAGTGTCCTCTCTGGTCAGTAGTTCAGGAGAGGCAGCATTTCACAGATCTTTCTTGTAACTTCCAGAAAAGTCAGCCAGCCAGAGTAGCCAGAGTTAGGTTCAAACTTCTTTACAAAGCCATGTTCCTATGAGATAAAAAATTAAACATGGTAAAATCAGTGGAGACTAAGTTTGCTGAAATAAAAAGCAAAGAAACCTTTATGTAAATAATAAAAATAGTTGAATCTTCTCTGTACTTTCACTAGCTGTACTCTGTTCATTCTCATCATAGTTCATTCTTCCATTGTCAGAAAGAAACATAGCATGAGCTACATGTGTAATTTTAACTTTTTTGCAGCCACATTTTACAAAGTAAAAATTAGGCACAATGAATTTTCAAGATATATTTAATTTAATATATCCAAGATATTATTTTTAAACTTGTAATCAGTATAAAAATGATTAATAAGATATTTTATTCTTTTTTTTCGTACCAAATCTTCAAAGTTGGGTGAGTATTTAGTACTTACAGCACATTTTAATTCAGACTAGCCACACTTCAATTGTTCAATAGCCACAAGTGACAAGTGGCTACATATTGGGCAGAAAGCACAGCTCTAGAGATAGAAAGTCTAATTTTTTTTTCTTTCTTTCTTGTTTAATTGTCTGGCATTGATTTCAATGCATTTATATTTTTACATAAACTATGCTAAATTGTAAACTGCATTGTATTGAGAATCATGAGGCTTTACAGTAAATCTAAATTAAACCAACACCTTTGAGTCTATGAGATAGTTGATGATTGTTTCGATTATAATTCATTCTCTTTGTGATTAGGCATAGTTTTTAAAATATAGGAAAAATAAGATAACCCAATGAACTGGAAAGTGCATTTAATTAATTAACAATCTATAATGGATGAATGGATTATACATCCAAGAAAAGTACCTCTGAGATCAGTTAGCCTAATGCTCTCTTTCATTTTAACAAAGGAGGGAAATGAGGACAAAAAAAAGTAAGTTACCTAAGACTCCCAACTCCTTAGTGGGTAAGGGACATGGACTAGAATGCAAATGCTCCATACATTTCTAAGCAAACACCAAAAGGATTAGAAAATTGTTAAAATGATTTTTTTAATGTTCACTTAGCAAACATTTGCTTTGTATCTTCCAAGTTCCAGAACCTGGGGTTACAAACACCTTTTAAGTAGCGTATAGCCTGGTATGACTAATACTGAAAAGTAAACCGAGCATAATTCTCTGACAGTTGGAAGACATCTGCAATGGATTGGAATCACCTTCAGTGGCAGGACAGATGGATACCAGTCGGGGAATTCCCATCTGAAAGACTGCCTAAGAAAGCTACTTTCTGCGGGCATGGTAAGTAGAATCATGCTCTGAGACACACGCTCTCATGCTCTCACAGAGGGGGGAAACTGCTCCTGTCTCTTCTTCCTCTTCCCCTTCTGCTCTCACACGCTCATGTGTTTCCCATACATCCTAGGTATATATTCACTTGATTGCCCCCCCCCCAGAAAATTTCATAAACTACACATTTGATAAGTATAAAGGGTCCTTCTAAAATGATTTTTTTATTATGATGACAATGGTCATTGTCTATTATGTTTGGGCAATTCACACGTCATCTTATATACATTCAACTTCTAAAGACAGTAAACAGAGGAAAAAATTGTCCAATTCAGCTAGGTGAAGATTAAATTTTTAATAAAAAACTATTAAAAACTAAAAATTAAATGAACAGTAGACTAGAGAAGTATTTACCTTACCAGGAAGGAGTTCATTCAAATGTAATAGAAAATCGTCAAGCCCTTAATAGTTAAAAAGGAGAAGTAAAGAAAGAAAAATTGTAAAGAAAAATTGCAAAGAAAAATATAAATATAAATTATGAACAAGTATATGGGGAAAAACTCAGCATTACTAGCAGTTAAAGAACTGTACATTATAACATAGTTTTACTAGGTTTTAGACCTATTAAATTAACCTTGTCATGTTAAGCTTATTAAACACTCAAAATAATTTTTAGTATTACCAGCCTTTACTAAGGTGGTTATTTTTAGTAGTACCACCTTTACTAAGGTGATTGTGACATTGTTCCATTGGAATACATAAATATGAATTATGAACCAGTCATACCACTCTTGGAAATTTGTTGTGGAGTAATCTTCTACAATATCCCGGTGGGGGCATTGGAGAAACATACCCATGTTCAGTATTGAAGCATTGTCTCTAAAAACTGGATTTGGAATTGGTCGAGTAAATAATGATACAAAGATGAATAGAATATCCTGTTGACATTAGAAATGTTAGCATGGAATATGTGAGGCAGTATAGAAAATACTTATACTATCATATGGAAAACTGTTAGGTATACCCTAATCAGAATTGCATACAAGGTCTGAATGTGGACATGTTAGTGTAGTGGAAGCAATTTTATTTTTCTTTTCAAAATATTTTTTTGAATATTTCCTTTTAAGAATGCTATTTATATCCTAAAAGCATTATGTAAAAATCAGTATACAAATAAAAATTCAACATCCCATCAGTAATGTGGTGGTAAACAAAGAATGCTCACAACTGATTATTTCTGGGAATAGTGATAGTTTGTTGATTCAGCTACCTGAAGTTTCAAGAAAGCCGAAAGCATAAAATAACATATTATATCACTAATCCAAGGAAAATCAGAAGCTCAGAGTCTTTTAAAGATGTAGGCAAACACTATGATGTTAGTCCCACTTCTGTAGAGATTATTCCTTCATTTACTCATTCAAGAAATATTCTCTGAGCATTGACCATATGCCAGGTATCATTTAAAACACTGGAAATACAGTGATGAACAAAGCATAAAGGATCCCTGCCCTCACTAAGCTTAAATTCTCACCACAGAAGCAGACAAACAGATAAGCAAATAAACATATAATGGGAAGTCCAGTTATAAAAACTGTTATTAAGGAGATAAAGCCTACTGCAGGGAGAGGAGCAGTGGTTCTATCTTAGAGGGGTGATCAAGGAAGCTTTCCCTGAGGAGGCAACCTTGGAACTGAGATCTGGAGTGTAGGGAATAAGAAAGCCATGCAAGCTTCTAGGGGGAAAGGCGAAGGTAATACCAAACATAAAAGCTGAAGGTGGAGCATGCTCAGCTTATCTAGGGAGGCTCAGAGCTGTGAAGGCACCGGAGTGATTCACAGACAAGGAGATGCATGAGGCAGTTAGGGGCCAGGTCACAGCGGGCTTGGAGTACAGCCATCAGGACTTTGTATTTTTGTTCCCAGGGTAAATGGCATCTGGGAAGTTTTGATTAGACCAGTACATGATCTAATGCAATTTCTTAAAATATCCCTCTGACTGCTAGGTGGAGAACGGATTCACAAAAGGTAAAGAATGGAAGAGAGGAGACTGGTGGGAGGCTGTCGACACAGCCAAGGGAGAGAGCAAGGGGGCCCTAGATGCACTAGGCACACAGCATTTCAAAGGAATAGCCAACAAGTTTTGCCGAAGGACTAGATGTGGAGTACCAGGAAAAGGAGTCAAGGCTGATCATGAGATTGGGGAGCTTCTAGAGAGCTTTCCAGAAGACCCCACAGGGAGGAGGGTTTTTCACTAACTCCTGCATCAGTATCATGCATTTCTATATGATGTAAATTATGTTTCACCTTATTTTTCATTAAATGATTTTAAAATCTCAAGTTAAGATTTAAAAGAAAAATAAGAAGAATGTATTCCCAAGTATCTATTTAGTCAAAGGACATAGTAAAGAATACTTGAGATTCTATCATTCTGCTGCTAGATCTTCACACCTTTTAGAAATGCCTTTGCCAAACTGAACATTTAGTCAATCATCCACATGTCTCTATGTGCCCATTTATTTGGCCTCAAATTGAGAAGATAATTAATGAGAACAAAAAGTTAAAAGAAAATAAAATCTCTTGGCCTAACTCTTACAACACAAGCTTTAATATGGCAGTTACTTGGAAAGCCCCAGCTCTGATTGTGGATCCCCATCTTCCAAGGGACTAAGAATTGCATGATTACACTGCATAGAATTCCCCATCTAACCCTCAGGGTTACATAGTATTTAACAGTTTATAAAGCACCTTTACAAAAATCTCTTCAAATCTTTTAACGTTCCTTCTAACATAGGTATTATTGTCTTCATGAAGTATTATATGTATGATACATTATCATATTACATCCTGTCAAACATATCATTACATGCATTATGTATGGAATCTGAGTCTCAGGGTACTTCAGTAACTTATCCAAGGTTATACCTCTAGTGAGTGAAAAAAACAGGATCCAAATCAGTTTCAAAGTTAGCTCATTCAGTCATTCTTCAATCTTAACTCATTCAATCATGCCATCAACAAGTATTTGTTGTTGGGGACCTTCTGTGAGGTCTGCCCCATGCTAACCATGCAGTGTGCATAGATGCGGTAAGCAGACACACCTCCTCTTACGTAGGGCTGAGGGCTGAGCATTCTTTCCACCCCACCAGCACAGACACAAGGGAATGCTTCACTGAAGGTTGTGAAAATAAGACCGCCAATTGGCTCAAAAGAAAGGGTGTCCCAAAGGGTGAGATATGAATTTCTTCTTATGCACATTCAATGGTTTCTAAGAGCCATCTTTTTCTCATCTATGCTGAAGACAACTTAAGAAAGCTCCAGCTCTCCTATCCTGTGAAAGCCCATTCAAGCTTAGCACTTCAAATTGGGAGAAAGGACAGGAGGAAATAATGGTCAGTGAGGGAGAGGAGGAGAAAGAGAGATGAGAAGCCACAAGCAAAAGAATGGAAGGAGGGGAAAAGAAGGAAGGGAGGGAGAGAGGGGCTCGGTCAAGCTGATAACAATGAGAAAGAGACTAAGGAATGAGATGGCTCCCTTATTGATAGACCAGTCTTATTTTTACCTTTTAGGGCATTTGTTTTATGTGGTAATGAATATTCAACTATATTCAATCATATGCCTTATGGAGACTAGAAATATTTAATCAGATGCTCTCAAGGGAAGCTAGGTAGTACTGCTATTAGTAACAACAACTTCCCTAAGCTTAGCTTGAGTATTCATTTGCAGGAATTGTTCTAGGTTCTTTGCATATTGCTAACTGATTTGCAGCCTTCTACCAGTCCCAAGAGATTGGTTGCAAAAGTGTCCCTTGTTTTACAGATGAGTAAACAAGGCTTAGGGAAGATATTAATGAGTAACTTGTTCAAATCACACAGGTGGTGAGCATGAGAGCCAGAAGTAAACCCAGGTCTATCTGACTCAAGAGTTGGTGCTCTTAATATCTATGCTGTGCTCACACTCCACATTCTTGAGTCAAAGTTTCCATGACATCGCTAGGTACTTTTAACATCTAATTAGATTATAGATTGTGTGCTTTCTGATCTGTGATTTTGGGGGAGATTTTCAGGAGGGGAGAAAGTAAGAAGCTGATGTTCACATCTCAATAAAGCTGTGAATGCCATTTCAACGCTTCCCCTCTTCATGTGGGCCACCTCACTTCACTAGTATAGATATGTGATTATGTCTTTTCCCCTGAAATGAGTCACTCTGGAGTGAATTCATTCATTTGAGCAGATTTGTCAACCTCACTCTAGAAAGAAGATATAACTTTCCCACACCAGCATGTACCAACTCAGAATGGCATTGCCTGTCATAAACAGAATTAGTGTCTCCAGTGATCTGGGACAGAAGCACTGAGATTGCTTTGAAGTGACATCTTTTTTTTTT